TTTTTTCAGCACTGTCTAAGCTTACAATTCAAAAGTAAATATGGCTAAAGAACAAATAGTTCATTTTTCTCTTTGTAGACAGGAGAAGGCTACTTTGAGGCCTTTAAAAATGAGCTTGAGGCATTCAAGACAAGAGTGAGAGTCTGGTCACAGTCACATGGCTTTCAAACTATGTTGCTCCATGATCTCAGTGTCAGTCCTGGTGTGGGAGAGTGGACATCTTTTTTACAGGTATGTTTATTATTTCCAAAATTTATTTTAACTAAAGCAGGATTAGGTCCTGCGTAGAGAAGCTATACCTTTCTGATACATAAAGAGGATTGTTTCTTGAATTGCTAGTGCTTGGGATATATCATGCAGTGTTATTAATATAAAAGGCATTTGTGGGCTTTCTTTTTACTTGCTGGAATTCACAGCATCAGTATAAGGCCAAAGTATATGTTTGTTCATTGCTTTTACATTTGCATGCCTAAAATAAACACTGCATGATGAAACTGATCAGATCCTAGAATTGTATTCCCAGTCATCACCATGAGCAGTGTAAAATCATGGGGTCAAGTAAGTTACAGAATCATAGAATGGTTTGAGTTGGAGTGGACCCTAAAGATCATCTAGTTCCAAACTCCCTGCCATGGCAGGGACATCTTTCATAGACCAGACAGCCCCATCCAGACTGGCCTTGAACGCTGCCAGGGACCCCACAACTTCTCTTGGCAAGAGAAGTCAAGTCTAAGGAAAGTCTCCCTTTGTGATAAAGTTATGGCCACATTCTGGAATGAGGAAACAACTTAAAAGATTGTCAGAAATTATGTATTAGGAAAAGAGTCACAATTGAAAGTACTTATTTGAAATAATTTGATTAAAGTACCTCTCAGAGGTAGATAAAACAGCTGAATTTTATATAAATGTGCAGTTAGGTGCTAGAAATATTAAGACCAAATACAAGCTATGCTAGCAAATTTTAAAAATTCTTGACACAGTGACATAATACTGGTTAATGATGTTTTCAGACCTTACTTTCTATTGTAAATTTGTCTCCTCATAAGATGGACAATGCAAGCAGTCTTTGTTTCCTCTCACTGTGTTTCTCCCTCTATCTATACAATTGTGGAGCATTAAGCTGTCAGTGTTTCATCTGTTGCAGAACACAGGAGATCTACAAGGTTCCATAAACACAGATGTCTGCAGTTTCAACTCTGTGATACAAAGAGATGAAGAAGAATCCAAAATGATGGACACATTATAGTACTTCTAAGACTTGAGGCCAAGTACTCTTTTGTTTCCCCTTTTTTTTTTTTCCCAAAGAAACAAACATGGCTATTTTCTTGACACTTATTTTTCTGGGTACTGCACTTTATTTTTTGTGTCAGATTTTTGTTGTTTTTATTTGTTTGGTGGGGGGAAGGACTTTGAAGGGTGGGTAACTAAGGAAAAACTTGTAATATTGTTTGAAATGTGCTGCTAGGTTTATAGTTGTCCTTGAAGAGCAGGGTTCTTTTATTGCCGAATGTGAAACTGGATGTGTTTTCTGCTACTAACCTTGCCTTTCATGATTTTAGAAATTAAACATCTGCACAACTACAATGTTTACAAGAAGCAGCAGATTCTTGGTAATATCTGCTGTTGTCTTACTACAGATGTGGATATGTTTGAATATTGGAGATTGCAACTGTATTCATGCTACCTTGCTGACAGTATAAGCTCTGAAATTTGGTTATCACTAATAGCAATAAATCAGTATCTGGTAACAGTATTTCTGATCTGAATGGATTAGATTAATACACTGGCTTTCTACCTCTACGAAGGGGATTTAAATGTTATATTGTACTTTCATTAAACATAACTTGGTTTAATCCTAAAACATAAGCAACACTTGTCTGCGAATGAGTGCTGGGTTGTATGATTTCTGGGAGTCTGATTCTCTTCTTGTTCATCAGGCTAACTTCAGATTATTTTTTTTTAAACCAAGTCTTGTTATGGTTGAAGTAATTGACGAAGTGAACTTGTACAAGGGTTAGGCTAAGACCTCTGTTTAAACAAAAAGCTTTGTTCCAGGTCACATAGGGTGAGGTGTCATGCACTGTTTGAAAGGTATTTCATATGCTATTTAACCAAAGTGGGTTTCTGACATTGTCAGCTCAAACATTAAGTGGAAAACAATTAAAACCTTCTTGTTTAAGAAGCTGAAAATCCAAATATATTTTCTAGACAAGGCCTTCCACAGAACCTTGCACTCCAAAACTCTACTGTGTTGTTCTAACTTGTTGCTCTTACAGCAGATCTGTCTATAAAAATGTATAGAATAACTGGAAGACTAGCAAAGACAGCTTATGCCTCAGATAATGGTACCAGTACACACTCTTCATCCATTACTGAATTTTTCTGATTTTATGTAAGGTCTGGAAGGCTTATTGATTTCAAAAGGTCAGTGGTCATAGCCTACTTCCAGTTTTTAGTTCATACAGAATAACCACAGGCAGTGCCACAGGCTGGGACAGAATGGCTGGAAAGCCGCCCACAGGAAAAGGACCTGGGGCTGCTGGGGACAGTGACTGAATGTGAGCCTAGGCGGCCAAAAAGGCAAATGGCATCCTGGCCTGTACCAGCAAGAGTGTGGCCAGCAGGACCAGGGCAATGATTGACACTCTGTACTCAGCACTGGTGTGGCTGCACCTCAAATCCTGTGTTCAGTTCTGGGCCCTTTACTCCAAGAAGGACATGGAGCTGCTAAGGCACATCCAGAGAAGGGCAGTGGAGCTGGGGAAGGGTCTGGAGCACAAATCCTGTGAGGAGCAGCTGATGGAGCTGGGGTTGTTCAGGCTGGAGAAAAGGAGGCTCAGGGACACATCATCACTCTACAGCTGCCTGACAGGAAGGTATAGCTAGGTGGGGTTTGGCCTCTTCTCCCAGCTAAGAAGTGACAGCATTAGAGGAAATGACCTCAAGCTGTGCCAGGGGAGATTCAGGTTGGACATTAGGAGGACTGACTTCCCTGAAAGCATTGGGGTGGACTGCCCATGGAAGCGTTGGAGTCAGCATCCCTGGAAGTGTTTAAGAAATGAATGGCCATGGCACCTAGTGCTGTAAGTTGTTTGGCAGGGTGGTGATGGTCAGAGGTTGAACTCAATGATTTTGGAAGTCTTTTCTAATTGTAATGATTCTATGATTCTGTGAAACAGAATCCAGTAATTTTCAATTTTGCCTACAGCTAAGACATGGAAAAGTCTACGTCTGCAGAATATACCACGGTATTAGTATAAATGCAATAGCAGATATATTCATAGAAATCACTTTCCATATGACTTCTGCTCTCTAGCCTTCTTTTGCAAACAGACTGAAGATAAAAGAGCAAGGAGCAGTTTTGTCCCATATGCAAATTGAAGATAAAAACTATAAATTTCTGCTGCATCTGGTTAAATTTGACCGATACTCCAGGAAAGGGTAAGTAAACACTGCCTCCTCTTTAATAATTAGTTAAATATTAAGGGAAACTTAAAGGAAAACAAGTGACTTCAGGTTGTTTTTTAACTGAATGTTGTATGCAAGGGTAGTAAGGGCAATGTAGCACACTGACTTGCAACTGCTACCCTTAGCAGTGGAGCCATTGATCTAACAAACTTCACAGTAGAAGTTATTTTTTAAGTTTCTATGGGGATAAAACTAGATGGTGCAGAAATAAGTGTCAAATATTAAGGAGATTCCCTCCCCCTGCTCCTTCTAGTTCACAGAAATTTATGTATGCTGGTGAGAAAAAAATTTGACTGTTTTTTATTGAAATTAAAATATAAGAATACAAACAGCTAACAAGGATTTCTCACTGTAATATGTAGACATTTCATCAAGAGGACAGTACAAGTGGTCCACCTTCCTGGTGAGCTTTCTTTAAATGAAAGAAAAACTGATTGTAGTGGTATCTGCTCCTAATATTGTTGGTTTATGGTAAGGGGAAAATATCACAAATTCTACGATAACCATCTCTTTTTTAGACTCAAATGTGTCTCAATATACATAATGCTAAAACTGGATGTGTAGATGCAGGCCAAGGTATGTCAGCAACCCAGCTCTGTAGCTGTTCACAGTCACTGCTAAAGGAGATTGGAACCTGCATTACTCAGACACAGCTACTTCAGACATTACCTAGACAGAGTTGTTTGTTCCTCAGATTTTGCTGACTCTTGAAGGTCCCACCCTGATGAGCATTAAAAAATGGCTGGGAGGATTCATTGAAAAATAGCAGTGTCTGCAGTCCCTGGGCTGTTAAAAAGTGTGGACTTTGGAAGTCTGTATTTCCAGTTATCTAATGAATAAACACAAAAGCTGGTCAGAGACAAGAATCTCATGAAAACCAGTCCAGTTGCTACAATAAAAATTGCTACAGTAATATGCCAAAGTTAATATTTTGACCACTGGAGATCATGTCAGTTCCATCAGCGAGCACTTGTTCTCAAAGATTGTAGAAAAGACATTCACTGGTTGAGATCATCTAACTACAGGTTTACCAGATTCCACTATCTGTTCACTATCTACTATCTTTTTACTGATTAAGTCTTGCAGGGTCGCACAAATACAGAGGTTTTACCAAATGTTTTACACATCACTGAAACTCCATTTCCCATGCCTGCAAAATAGGTGCTCTGAGGGCAGAAATATAAACATAATACTTGCTTAGATAATTTGCCCTGGTACTAAGGGTAATTTATGGTGAACAAAATCAAGTCCAATCTGTGTAAGCAAAATAGAAACTAGCCTTTCCATAAGATTAATTCCCATACATAGAAGCTCTTGTCTGAAATGGCTCTTTGCAGATCAGTAGTCATTCTTCTTCACAGCTTCTGGCTAGCTCCAGCTAGGCACATGTTCAAGGAATGTGCTTGCATGTTCCTGTCATTGCTTCATTGAGTAAATTAATCAATGTGCTTTCTAATTAAGCTTCATTCTGAAATGTTTCCTTCACCAGTCAATATTGCAAATGTATTTTCCAAATAAGAAACACAAGAAAATTAGCTCTTGTTAAAGACAGTTACTGTATTTTTAAAATTAGGTATATTTAGTATAAAAAAATACAGCATTGAAGTGGTAACCACAGGCAACAAAATTTTACCATAGTGTTAGTTAAGGACAGCATTGGACTTAAATTATTGATGAGTCTGGTAGACTACTTGAACAAATCCTTGATTGATGAATCTCATGTAATTGGGAGTGAGCTATGAAAGATGAGCAGAAGTTTGACCTATTTTCACCTGGGCTTGGCAGCATCTTTCTGGCTAACATCTGGCAACTTGGTTTGAAGGAAAGCATAGATATGTGGCCAGATCTTATTGGTTTCTGTTCCAGAAAAGGATTTCAATAACCCCTTTTTCCTAAGGAAGAAAAAGAAGAAAGTATTACAGATGTCAAATTGCTTCATTGTTCCAAAATCTCCACTTCACTTGAAGATTACCCTGTCAGGAGTGTGAAAAATACGCATGTGATATAACACCAAGAAAGCTGCAGCACTGGAAATGCAGGCTGGACATTGATTTCTGCTCAACAGTCCTGGAAGAATACAGTGAGGGGTGGTGAATACGGAAATGCAGAAAGGAAAATCATGGATGTTGTCAGAGTGTGATTTCTTTGTCTAGACAAGGCAAGACTAGAGCTCTACATGGTGACCTACTACGTATCTGTATATTAGCAGTATGATACTTGCAGCTTTACATTTAGAGAAACATTGTGTATAATTTTGACTCTTAAAAGAACTAGTAATTTATTTCCACTCCACAATGAAAATGACAATTCTGAATTAGCTGATTATTCCTAAAGAGTCTAGCTAGCTGTGTTCAATCACAGTCCTGTTCTTAGAACAGCCAAATTTAAGTCCTATTAACAGTTTCTCTATTTGTCTATTGCTTCTTGACGCTTTGCACTTATTATAAGATTTTTTGCTTAAGCATCCAGAAAACAAAATATTGTAAATTCTTGCCAAAAAAAGGAACTGCCTGTTACCTCACTCACTAGAGTTGTTGTAGCTCAGAACAGTACTGTGGTGTATTGAATAATGCATAGCATTCTTTATGAAGCTAAATGTGGCTGCTGCAGTGACAGGCTATTTACCACACAGGTTCCAGAAGGTCCCTTGCAACCCTGGAAAATCATACCCATTCTACTGAGTTGATTTCTTAATGAGTTCATGAAAGCTACACAGCTACTCACACCATACTCAGTGTTGTGGTATAATATATTCGTAACAGAGATGCTTTCCTTGCTATGCTGCTGCACAGTAAGATTTGGGAATGTGGAAGAACAGATACTACTACTTACCGATAATACTCTAGAACAGGTTTTGTTTGTGCATCGTAAGCCTGAAGCCTCTTGCTGACAGTCTCTGGCTTGTCATCATCACGCTGAACAAGCGGCTCACCAGTGATGTCATCAATGCCCTAATCATGGTTAAAAGTAAATACCAAAGTATACTTCTTACTTCTCATTAAGCATGCTTCATGTAATTTTCTATTTAAATTATGATCAATTTCCACTTAATCAGAGTGTAGATTGCTGCTTATAAAGAGAGGCTGCTGCCTGTGTTCTCATCTGGATTGTAAGTTCTTGACTTTCCAGTAAAACAGTCTGTCAGTTAAATATTTCCTCAGTATTGCCAATTAATATTAGATCATCATAACTTGACTAATTTGTCCTCTGGAGCATTCGTAGAATATGAGGAACATGAAGACAAAACCTTCACATACAAGGGAAAACAACATGCCTTTATAACAGGAAGTAAGACACCAACTGCACCTTCATTTGACGATACTAAGATAGGCAAAGGAATTAATGGCCCTTTGATTTTTAAGTTGCAAAATGGAAGACTTATCATTTAATAACAGCTGTACAAAAAACAGCATAAGAGTGAGCTGAAGCTTTCCCTACAGAGGTAGGGACCTAATGTGTGAACTTTTGTTCCTACTAAGTAAGTAAGCATTTTGCAGGTCTGTTAAGATAATAGAGACAACCATATTTCACCTGTTTAGCTTTATCCCATGTTTTCAGTTTAAGTATTGCAGTCCACTGTGTTGTGGTAAGTCTGCTAATTAGTGAAAGGTTAGACAGATCCTAAATAGCAAAGCTCTGGCAGCTGAAACCTGCTCTGGTAAGTCTGAGAACTTGGTGTTCTATCTTGCCTGTGCTCTTCTGCAATTGAAAATAACCATGATTTTAAACACCTTGTTTTAAACAAAACAAAGGCAGTATTTTCAGCTGTGCACTTCCAGTTCTTACCTGGTATTTTAAGCTGGCCTCTTTTCCTGCAACACTGAAATCCAAAAACTACAGGGCCTGCAGTGCTTCTGATGTAAATTAATGGAGCTTTAACTCTAAATTATTTAGAGTTAATGATAAGATACAGTTTTAGCTGAGTTGCACTAAATCAAATTATTCTTGAAAAAACTTAAGGTAACAATGTATGATCTTTATCTTAAAGCTCCTCTTTAGGATATTTCAAGCCATAACAATCTGTTGAAAATTAAATCTATTGAAAAGCTTCCCTGACTTGAAAGTTTCTGCATCCAGTTTTGCAGTACAGCAGCTCTTCTCTTGAAAATACCCATCCTGGTTAAATATAAACATGGGTAAAGCATTAAGTGGATTCCTCTGACTGGTGGTTTAGTGTTTCCTATATATAAAGCATGACTCCTCTGGAGGAAGGAAAAGAAGGCTAAAAGAAAGCTACATTTTGAATTGTACAGGCTGAAAACAGGCTAAGACCATGCCCAGATCCTGTGCCAGTGCATAAGGCAGACATTATTCCAGATCAGTGAACAGCTTTAACAAGTCCTTACAAAACACCATGGTGTTCTGCTCTGCAGGGGACAAATACGTTGTCCACCAGCTTGAGGTTCTGCCAGGTCACTAACATACCTCATACCAGCACAGTGTTACCAGAAAGTTTCTGTGCTCCCAAGAAATGAGATGAGCCATTTTCTTCTGAGCTGCTGTGTTTTGAAACAACACATGCAAACAATATTTTACTGCAGCTAACAAACACAATGCAGTACTTACCTAGTGCCAACACCAATGCATATTGCTTACCTGCACTTTGGGAGGACTGAATTCAAGATTGTAGACTCTGCCACTAGCAGGGTGGATCCAGCGTGCTGTAAGCCGACACTTTATGGTCTCAAATGGCACGTCCAGGTCAATCACAGTGTCTATGTGACATTCTTTATCGAGGGCTTCTGCCTGAGCAACTGTTCTGGGGAAACCTTTTTAAAGGAAACAAATTCATAAAATTCTGAAAACAGAGTTATAGCAAAAATTACCTGGATTGAGTCATTAGAGAAAATAATTGTTACACAGCAGAAAAACCAAAAAGCATTGTCATGTTATATAAAGATGGAAGAGACATTAGATTTTCTAATATCTTTCAGTGTGTCATGGCATTTTAACTTTTTAAATGCCTACCAGCTTTTATTTCTTTATTTCAGCTAATCATCTTCCCAAACTGCAATGAATAAGTGCAAAAATACCCCATATTCATATATACACTACATACCACTACACTGAATAAAAGCCCCATATGCACATTTGGAATAATAAAAAATCAAATGAAAATAACAACCTAGAAACATTTGTGGTATCTTTTACTTTCACAGCTGTGTAAGTCTGGCTTAGGGTCATTTGGACATTACAAACCTATTTTACTCAGCTGCAGTAACCCAATATGTTTACTAGAGGCAGTACAGGATTTAGAAGGTTTCTGAAAGTTTCTGTATATCAAATTGTCTTCAGATATGATGACTATGAGAACACTCAGGTTGATCAGGAACCTGTCTCCACTTCAAAGACTGTATTTTGCCCCATGAACTCCGTGGCTCCCTATTCTATGCCTCAAACTATTAGATGATTTATTGTAACTTAGGAGGGGTGCAGTGGGAACAAAGAAGAAAGCCAAGGGCTCCACAAAGAAATTGAAATGAAAAATTAAGCACAAGATCTTCAGTAGTCAAAGCTACTGCAGAACATGCTATTGCATCCTATATTCACTGGAACAGTTCCTTTCCTTAAAAAGCTCTAGCATAGTCTCATGTTCTTCATAGCCTGTAGTTTGCAACATACCATATAAGTAGACTTTTCCATAAAGGCACGTACTGATAGGCACAAACTTAAGAAACTGTTGCATAATGTTTATCTGTCCATTGCATGAGTAAGGAAAAACATTACAAAAAGAGTTGATTAAGTCAGACCAAGTGCTTGCTTGTGCATTAAGTCTCTTGCACCTGGCTTGCATCACAGTCATGAGCTGCCCTCATCCTATTTCTCACACATTCACATTATCTCATGGAAGTGCTTCTGAATGCTAAGAGCAGAGGAAGAGCCAGGTCTTCAACACTGCTGTTGAACACTGTTCAAGAACTGCTGTCCTTTCTTACTGCAGCTACCATATTTCTAAGTTACACAGCTAGAAAGTGAGTTTGCTTGGAATTGAGTAATGAGAAAATTCCTCAACAAATTGAAGTACCTTTACAAAAGGATTTTATTGAAATTGAACTGGCATTTTCTACATAGTGTTCTCTCTATACAGAAAAATGTCTGCAATAGGTGATGAATTATGAAGATTCCAGGAACACAGAGAAAAATGCTCTAGATTATATAGCACATAAATCTAAATAGATTATACCCACAGACACATACAACTCAGACTGCTACATCTGCTATGACTCTAGAAGCAACCAACCTATTATAAGGCAGCAAATGGGTGTTTGGCTAAGTTAACATCCAAATGGTTCAGCAACTCTGGTTTGAGATAACCAACCCCACCTGTTTGTTCTGCATTGCAGTTACCAAACTTAAGATTTTGGGTTAACATATTTCAACAGTACAGTGTTGTTCCTGTGAAGCCCATTATGCCAGAGCCATTCCTAGTGAAATTCATTGAGTTTTATTACAAATGCTGATGCAGACAAAATTTCTGCCCCAAAAGTTTAAAGGGAGGGGCACATTAACATGCAGCAGAAATTGTTTTATTCTCTTATGGTCTCAATACAATCATCCTGCTGAGAGCTGCCAGTGGGCACAGCTATACCGCTACACATCCAGATCCACAAGACTGGAACTATACATGGGGCCTGAAACTAAAGAAAGAAATGAAATTATCTGCTGTTCTTTGCTTTATTGTTTAGATTTCATTGTACTGTTCACTGTGGGAATAAAGCCTTTCTCTCAGGGAGGAACCCAGCTGTGACTAAAGCCACCAGAATATCACTGTACCTAGGAGCAACTATATAAATATAAGTATAATAAAGCACTAAGGCACAGAGGTCACTGTGGATTTTTCACTCCCTCTAAAGGGAAATAACTTTCTTGTTTTATCTGCTGAGACAGGTTGTGACTAGAGTCTGAAAAAACACATCCAGCCTAGACACTATTTTTGTGCTGGGCTGTACACCCATGGGCTAGAATAACAAGAGCTATCCAGTTCATGAAGACAGCAGCAAATGCATTTTCTCTCTAGTAAGAATGCTGAAGCAATGAACTTACTGCAAAACGGTTCACTCTGGAGAAGAGAACCAAACAGTAAATGAAGGAGGCCTTTTAGGGCAATTGAGTAATGTTTTTTATTACATTCCACACTGCTGCAGTACTTTTCCATACTTACCTTGTTACTGCATCTCATTCCTACCTTGCTATTTAAATAATTCTAAAGCCCCATCCTTCAGAAGTTTTCCATTCCTCAAGGACTTTAATAGGAAAATACTTTTAAAAAGAAACTTCTCAATGCCTATTTTAATGAGGAAATACCATAAGAATTATTACAAAATGCTAGAATTGCCAGTTTTGAAATTTTTCTGGATTGTTGAACGATCCTTTTTAACATGAGTTAAATATCCCTGTAATGTTCTGAAGGCAGGGTACACCCAAAGCATTTGTCAGCCAAAGTAACTGGGGCAGACTATCTGTTGAAAGTTTCACAACGAGCTGGCAACCAGCGACCAAAGTTTTCTAGTACCAGGTTTTCCGGAACAGATTTTCTCTCCATATGTAGTGATACTCAACACGGTAACTTACCATCCAATAGCCAATTGTACTGGTCTAGACTTTTTATCTCATTCAGCATTAGTTGTGTCATGATGTGATCTGGAATAAGCTGCCCTTGATCAATGTAGGACTTGGCAAGGATTCCCACTTCTGCAAAAGAAGAAGTTGCATTACACTCTCTCTGACCTCCAGAGAGGTCAGCAAATGAGAAATCCAGCAAATGAGAAAAAGCCCACAAGCCTGCAAAAAAAATTGTTTTGATTGGGATGACAGAGAAAAGTTATAAACAAGACAGACAGCATGCTTGCCAAAATTAAAAAATATCCAGATGATCAACTAGGATCTGACCATGCAAATACATATCCAATTAATTAGATCCACCTGTAGGGCAAAACACACCTCTATCCTCACAACCTCTGAATAAATTTACTCATATGTATTTGCAATATGAAGTTCAAAAACTAAAACGAGGAGAGGCCATTAGCCAAGAGTCTTTAAAATAAGAAATAGAAAGGATACAAGTTTATTAAGATATCAGCCCTCAGACTTCTTGTAAAGAAAGTTATTTTCTCAGCTTAATGGCTAGTTATTAACTTACACTTAGGCTTCATTACAAATATAAACACCTTTGGCAGTCTGCAGTGAGACACACTTGCCAGATATGTATTATGATTACTAGAGTTGCAAGAGGGTGTTCATAGATATTGTACACTATTTATGGGAGCACAGACACTAGGATTTTCCTATGGAACTGACTAACCTTTAGTATCACTCATTTATTTCACTGGCTCACTAAAATTCCATCCATGGTAGTTCCAGCTATCACACCATGCTCCTACATGGCAGGCAGTAGTTCATGCTGTAGTTCACCCAAATCATGGGTATATCCAGGAAGAAATTCAGTTGCCTGGGTTGTGTCCTAGGCATAAAGTTTCCATATCTTTCATTTATAAAACAATTACCCAATTACATTAAGTAACCCAGCACTGCAGCTTGACTGGTTTTATTGTGGGTCTACAGAAGCCTTTACTTGCAGCCCAGTTAAGATCTAGTTACAGAAAACTGAAGAAGAGAAAATGGGATGGACTGACATACCCACACAGATACAACCACTCTCAACAGAGAGCAATGACAAATGCCAGTCACATCTCAGTGCATGGAATATGCAACAGGACAGAGGCCCTTCCTTAAATGAGGCAACTGAAAAGCAGTACATGCCCTCAAATCATGCAAATAGTAGCTTTGGTGATGAGAAAAAAAAATAAAGAAACAATTTCCCTTTACTGCCTGTTCACATCTGTAGTCAGGCTTTGATAAGTAAAGGCCGTATAGAAGCAGGCACTGTGCACCTTGGCCAGACTTCAAAACATGCTCACTATATGGAAAAGAATCAGACTGTGGTGCCTGAGTCCTCCAGTGCAAACTGGAAAAAGGGTTACTGTCTGTTTGGGTACAAAGTGTCTTTTCCCTAGTTCCCTTCTTCATACCTTTTTTTATTATTCTAGTGTGCTTTGAACCATGTACACTGAAAAAGTAGGTTGGGAGAAGAAATAAATCATGTCTAGATAGTTTAATGTGTACTTGATGCTTGGCTCTGCTACTGATTTATGTTGCAGCATTGCTTTGACCACAATGATCTAAAAATGTGTGCAAGATAAGGTTCACAGGGAACAATTCTAACTTACTTTGGAAAGATTCGTGAGTTTTTGGACCCAGAAAGATTTAGAATATGGCAAGCTATTATTAGACCAACAGAGCTTGAAAAATGCTGCCTTTTGCCCCCCTCTACAGAACTCAAGTAATTTAGAATAGTGACTCAGGTCACTATTACAGAAGGAAAAAAATAGGCAGAACCATACCCAAAGAGTCATACACTAGCACGAAAAGTTGATACACTAGCTCACAGCCTTATTTTCCCCACCCCTGCTGTTGGGAGAGGGATTTAATGGGGTTGTGTAAGTTTTATTTAGTTCTTTCAAGTTGGGTCTGAAACCACTAAAGGCATGGTAATCTTCAGAATTAGAGGTAACACAGGTTTCTTTCCTTTGTGGGTGATAAGTGGTCTCCATGTTCCATGGCTTTACAAAGGATTGGCACATTCTAACCATATAACAACAAACAAGCTCTAGCCATAATCAGACAATAATTACCTTAGCATTAGAGAAGTGCTCACAGACTCTCCACTGTCCAGAAGACAGAATGGTAAGGACACTCGACTTTTCAACAATGTCCATTTTCACAAGAGAGCAAATGCAAAATTTGCACCATATAACTACTGTTAACTATATCTAATTTTCCAAGGGCATTAACTGCCCATGTTAGTGTAACCCAATTCCCAAAGAATTGGAAATTGCAAGACTCTTCTATTATCAAAACTCATGGATCTTTGCCTTGACTGAATCTGTCTAGGTTGTCTGAGCTGCCTGTCAGTTGTTCTCCTATTTTCAGTGTATTACCTAGTCCTCCTACCTTCATCTCAGCCATCTGGGAGCCATTTCTGAAACTAGTGACTGACTTTCAATGAAATTGCAATAGAGTTTTGTCTGGGTTTACTAGTGAATGAGACACCCTGTAGCAGATTCTTGTAAATTCTGCTGTAGCTAATTTAGAGCAAACTTCACCTCTTAAGCTTTCCACTGATTTCTTTCCTTATATTCTGGATTTTAACGTGTCTGCTAAATTTCCGTTTCACATGTTTGTTCTCCTTCACAGTCTTTCATCTGTCCAACCCACCTAGAATTCTTTGCCTAATCACTTCTCTCTTCATCACTTCAGGCTCCCACCTCAATTCAATCAACATGATATTTCCACTTGCAATTACCTCTTCTCACACAACCTTCAGCATAATTCTGATGCTCTATGGTCTTGCACAAAACCTAAAGTATTTATTAAACATTGTAAATCTCAAAACACTTGGTAAAATAACATTTTCTTCATTATCTTGGAATGGCTACACACCAGGTCTTACACTGAAAGTTCATAATAGAGCAGTTTTGTCACCCTCTGTAAATAAAAACATATGATTGTGCAACCAAATAGAAATAGCAGGAATATGATCAGGTATGTCTACGCAGGTGTGCTCCTGTCAAATTCTTAACTTACAGTATCTACAATAGCAACTATTGTAAAGTCGGTCATTGTACCAAAGTCATTATCCTTACTGAGTAAAAAGAAGTTGTGTCAAGACACGTGGAAATCACATCACAACTGCTTCACCTTCAGACATGCTTATGAGTATTCCAAAACTAAGACTGCCAGTTACCTAGGCATAATACTGCAGTGATACTTACAAGTGAAGGGAATATTCTACAGCTTGAAGTTGCTGGAAATAATAATATTCCTACTTCATCACATGCAGCCTGAGATGGTTCTTAAAAGGTTTTTCACACACACCACCGTATAGAAAAGCAGATGTGGAAGTCAGGAGGGAACCTTCTATCATTGCAAAAATCCACAGAGAGAGGGACTGTGATATCTCAACTGAGGCCAGAGGTCAAGCTAGGACTATTCAGCAAGCATAATTCATATCTTTACCTGGTATAAGCATCACTGTATGTAAACACAGACCATGCTGAAACCTAAGCATGATGTGAGCTCATAAGATGATAATAATTTTAAAAGCTATGCAGTTTGAATATTTTGCACATTGCTGTTTTTGAAAGCACAACTATGTTATGCCTGCCAGCTCAGGACTAGGCGTAACATTGGAATAATACTTTTAGCCATCAAATGAACATCCAGAAAAGTCTGGTTGCCTAAAACCCCTCCTCTTCTCTTGCCCTGCCTGTTAAAAGGTGTGAATTTTAAATATTCTCTTAAAAGAGAATATTTTTCTCTTTTAAGATGCTTCCAGCTGGAGAAACGATGAGAAACTATCAGAACCATTAGAAACACGTACAAAAACCAGTGGGTGCTTACGAAAAGCACCCCAGGCAAGGAAGCAACGAGATGTAAGAAAACAGGGAAACAGGATAACCCCGTCCACTTTGGTGAGGAGGCTGGCAAGTGACAGCGTATGGAGGACCCACGGCTGCAGATACGAGGCCCACTCGAGTGGCCTCCGGAAGAGCTGTGTGAAGTCACCCAACCTCTGCCTGCGCGGGGGGGCACACGGAGGTGGGACGGGGAGCAGCAAACCCCATTGAAGAAGCGGGGAAGGAGGGGAGGAGCGGGGCTGGGGACAGGAATGCGTGTCGTGAGCGTGTCCCTTCCCGGGCGGAGCAGCGTCCCGCGGGAGCCGGCGCAGCGCTGCGTGGGGACCGCTCTCGCGGGACGGGGACAGGAAGAGGAGCCGGCACCGCCGCGCACACATCCCCACCTGTCTTCTTCTGCATGTTGTCCCTCAGCAGGTCGCCGCTGGAGAGGTGCTTCACGCCGAAGTGCTTGATAATCCGAGCGGAGACGGTGCCTTTGCCGGAGCCCGGCGGCCCCATGATGACGGCGCGCAGCAGCGGCGGCACCACCATGCCGCTCCCGCCGCTCCCGCCGCTCCCGGTGCTCCCGCCGCTCCCGCCGCTCCCGGTGCTCCCGCCGCCCCCGCCGCCCCCGCCGCCCCCGCCGCTCCCGCCGCTCCCGCCGCCCCCGCCGCTCCCGCCGCTCCCGGTGCTCCCGCCGCTCCCGGTGCTCCCGCCGCCCCCGCCGCCCCCGCCGCTCCCGCCGCGGGTGCGCAGGAGCGCGGCAGGAGCGCCGCCTTCCCGGGCAGCGCCGGCGAGCCCGGGCCGGTCTTCCCAGGGAACAGCTTCTCCGGCTGTCAATCAGGGGCAGGAAGGAAAGATCCTTTACGTAAGTGCACGGGGGAGGGAGGGATAGATTAATAACGATAATAAAAAGATCAGTGAAGCAAACTGCATCTTAGAAGGTCGCATCAAGACCGCATTTAGGCATCGCTGTTCAAACCGGCCCTGACTGCTTCTCCGCATCCCTCTGCCCAGGAGGCCCATTTTGGCTGCTCCCTAAGCCGTCAGCTCATGCCCCTTCTCGGACACAGAATCAAAGAGTCATTTGGTTTGGAAAAGACCTTAAGAATCACCGAGCCCAACAATTAATCCAGCTTTGCCAGTCCATCCCTATGCCATGCACCAAAATGACACAAGCTCACCTTTTAAATATCCCCAGAAATGGTGACCACCACTTCCCTGAATTACCATGAGAATTTCCCAAACTGAACTGGGAGGTGGCTCCTTACCTGGCTGTCACCAAATGACTGCTTGGCTGCTGGCACATCCCATTGCTGTCACTGCCCTGCCCAGGTGCCCTGAGGCTGTGGCTGACTGCTGTGAGCCTTCACCCTCATGCAGCAGCCTTGCTCTTGCTGGTCTCTCACAAATAAGCTCCCACTGTGTAGCAGGAGGCAGCTGCATTTTTAATGAGCTGTGCCTGAGTTTTGTTATGATACTTGAATGTGAACAGCTGCAGGTTTCCCTTGTTATGAGTAGTGTTCTTCCAAATACGAAGATGTCCTTTCCCACAGATACGATTTGGTGATCCTCAGCTACATCAGAATGCAATATTTTGGCCAAAACATTAGATTGTCCCATTTCCTGAGTGTTCACAGTCATGTCCACAGCAGGAGAAGTGAGCCTTCCAGCTCAAGGTTCTGGACATGTTGATGGATCTAAATCACTGTACCAGAAAAGTCACAGTGAAAAAGTGAGCAGAAAGGAGAGCTAGAGTCAAAATATCAATGAAATTCAGCTTCCTGTTTTAAAGCATTGTTTCATTTCAATAATTTCACAGTGAAACAAGTAAAGCCAAAAGATAATATTCAAATGGCTTTTTGATACTTTGAAACAGTAATTAAATAGGAATACAGCCCCAAAACTCCCCAGTCAACAAAATTAATTGCCTCAACAATTGAGTAGGATGGCACTGGTTTAGCTCATAGGCCTCACTATGAGCATAAGTCTCATTACAATTAGAAATGTGAACTTTCATAAATGAACATAATAGTACCTCTATTCCAGATTGTACTAGGACAGAAAGAGTTAAATGTTCGGAGCTTTAGCAGCGTTCCCAGGGCAACACCTCAGTCTGCCAAAGCACCACAGTCTTAAACAAAATTTGGCAGCAAAGGCCATTTAAATGTTAGAAGCCACATTGTTCATTTTAACCTCTATACTTTAGAGACTTCTGAATGGCAGAAGTCCACAAAATGTGTTGATAAATCTTCCTAAAGAAAATATATGGGAAAATGAAAGGTAATGTATGAAATACATATCCAGCGAATAACTAGACTTGTCAGAGAGATCATTAGCTCTAATCTCCAATGCCAGCAATAACTTATCTGCCTGTTAAAAAGAAAGCCTGGTTCAGCCTGTCTACAGGCCTATTGAGCAGCCCAGAAATCCAGACAGGAAGGCTAAGACAATCCCTTTGTTAAAGACTATTTAGAAACCTCTCTGAACTTCATAACAGATTAATGTCGAAGGGATGGAAAAGAATAGAAAGACACTTCTCTCACAAACACAGGTTCTTACTAACCTATGGCCTTTGCAGAACAGAGGTGGGTACTTAGATTACAGAAAATATGTAGTAAAAGAAATTATTGTTCCCATTTCCTTCACTATCTTTCCTGAAGTCCAAACCTCCCTGTAGTAATTTTGTGAGTAGTTGTGACATACTCAGAAGTGGAAAAGGAAGTAACGGAAGAAATGGGGTCAATGGTTCACTAGTTTGTATACAAGTCTTTACACAGCTATGATGTATTTAGAGACATGCAAGTGGTTTTTTTGGCAGCCTTATTATGACGTTTGGAAAACAACACTTCATCATCTTCATTCAGACTTAATTATTCACATCTTAACAGAGTAGTCAATGTTTATGTAACACATTTTGCACTATATTCTGATTAATCTTTTTCACACATGTAGCCTACAGGTATAAATTAAAAAGTTAACTCTTGCTTAGTGAGTATAGAAGTAACCCTCCTGGTGACTGACCAGTAATCAAAACCTTGTTCCAAACACATCCAAATGTTATTACCAATAAATAATTTTTCATATTACTCACCATTTTTTTCAAATATAAGAGATGTTCGAAGACGCTTTTTAAGCCTTAAACTATCAAAAGAGTTTATGTCAGGTATGCTCCTTGGAGATCTAAATCCTTTCATCTGAGTTTGATACAGAATTCTTTTAGTACTATTGGATAACTACTTCCCAAGTGTTGTACTTTGTATCAAAATTAAATGGTTACTTACATGAGGAACAGGTCATAGTACACTGACAGGCAGGACTTCTGGCATGGTCTTCCACATAGTTTTTGTACCTCATTTGGTGGAGATGTAGACTATTTGATGGGTGTAAATCTGGCCAGAATAGAAGTGTAGTGCTTAGTGTTTTGTACCGTACCAAAATGAGCATGTTTTTGCAGGGCCTGTCCTGGCACCTTGTTTTGTCTAGTGTCTGTGAATAACCCCTAAAGAAGAGAGAGAGCACACCTTCATCAGTTTTGTGGGTAACACCAAACCATGTGGCCTTAGCACATGGACCTAGGGGCAGGAAGTGGAGCTCTGCAAGAACAGGTGGGGAAAGGGGCCAAGCAGGACCCTGACAAAATTCAGCAAAGGCAGGTACAAAGTCCTCCATCCAGGACACTCCAACTACTTCCAACAGTGCAGGCTGAGAATTGACCAGCAAGACAGAAACTCTGCTGGAGAAGACTGGGAAGAACTGGTCTACAGCCAGCTAAGTGCCATCCACCACTAAGTATGTGGCCACTAACATCCTGAGACATATTAAGAGGAGGGTAGCCACTACATCAGGGAAAACAGTTATCCCTTTCTATTAAGCACTTCTCAGGCCACATCTGTGTACTGTGGCCAGTACTGGGCCCTCCGGTACAAAGCAGGCATTGAGCAGCTGGGACAGATTTAGCAGGAATGACCAAGATGATCGGGGATGGAGAAGAGCTACGGCCACAGACAGATGGAACCATGAGACAAGAGACAAGACTGGAGACAAGAAGGGATCAGGAGTACCTAATAGCAGCCTTCTAGTATCCATGAGAAGGTTACTGAGAAGGCAGGGACAGGCTGCTTACTAACATGAGTGGCAGGACTCAGTACATCAGGCAGGGGAATCTAAGTATTAGTAGACTCAGGTCCCTGAGGTTTTTAAGACCCAACTGGATGAAGTCCTGAGCAACCCAGTCTGATCTTGCTTTGGTCCACAGACTGGGCTACTGATCTAGATACCAGCCTGGATCAGGCTGTGATGCTGTATTTGCAAACAAGATATCTCATTAATGTTTTTTAAAACAATGCATGAAATACTTATTCAGTGAAGGCTAACACATATACACAACACAGATGAAAATTCTCCCTCAAAAAATATATACCATCAAGAACACTTGAGGAGCAGATTTTTATTTTTTTATTAGATATAGGTTGAAATACATAGAATGAAATGTTGCTGTTGAACTGTTTCCTTTAAAGTAGCAAAGACTTAACTCTTTACAAACCAAAAATGTAGAGCCGTGATTCTTTATTTGGATTTAAATAATGTTTTATTGCAAAGAGGGATATAACACTATAATTTTTGTGCTGTCACTCCTACCTTTATTAAATAATGAATTATTCCTCCCAGATGGCTGAGTACAGCAAACTGACACTTATACATAGCATGGGTTGTTCCAAAACTCTAAGTTTCCTAGGAAACGTGTATTCTTCAGACAAATTTCATTGCCTGTACAAGCTTGTGTACACTCAAAACCTTATTTATTACAAAAATTAAACACGCCTTATTTATAAAGTGATAAAATCTATTAACGTAATTGAAATTAACAGTCTCATCCAAGAATTGATAATTATTACAGAAAATTTATGCTAAATTACCATTATTAAGATTTAATCTTTATTGTATAAAGAATTAATTGCTGCACACAAACTTCTTAGTTTCTCCCATTCTCCTGGTGTTGTGTTTATCCCCTCCCCTCCTTGCCTGGTTATGATCTCACTCAGGTGAGAGTAGTGGTGAGTCATTAGCATCTGGAGTCCCTCACCAGGAAGAATGCCGTGCTTCTGTCTACAGCTTCTTCTTCATCCCTGTAGGGTTCACTTGGAGTTGGTCTTATATGCTTGCTAACACAATTTTACACCTTGCTTTTTCTTCGCTAGTCTGTAGCTCTACATAACATCTGAGTTTACTGTTATAATACCTTCCACATATATTAGACAGTTTCTTTGTCTTTTTTGCTAAACCAGTTGTGTTCAGCTCCAGATCTGCGCCCAAGGAAAGAAACAATAAATACAAGAAAAATAAATTAGCCACAAAAAACTTGTCAAAACTGCTCCTACAATTAAAAGAAGCAAACCAAATCTGCAAGCAGATCAAAGAACATTCAGACAGTGCAAATCTGATTAGCTTCTGTTTTGATGCTTTGGAAACTCAGTACAAGGCTTATGTCCTGTTACAAGCAATGGTAATAATTTGTTGTAGTTACAAGCTGATAACAATCTAATTCAGAATTTAAATTATTTTGAAAACATTTCTGTTATCTCAGT